AKRWSAMARMRMAAMRCKYWWAGAATATGGAGTGCGTGGTGGAAATCTCCCATGATCACAGAGAGTATTATAACATAGATTAGCAGTAATAAGCCARGCTGAATAATATCCATCCACCACTTGTTCATCCATCCATTTATCTCTRCATTYATCCCAGGATTCATCAAGTCACTCACCCATCCTCTATTCTACCATTCCATAATTTTTGGCAAAAATGAATTGATCTATTCGTGCGCTCTAAAACGTACAACCATGTTCTGCCTCCGTAYCAACCGTGCACCCWTGACGCGTTAGCTCGAGCCGAACACCCGGAAGTCCACTAATTGATGACCGTTTTCCAAGACAACGATGCCCTGAGATATAAAGTTGGCTTCATTACAAGGCCACTGTAATTTGCATGATGTTGATGATGATGATGTTACTTTCCAAAACTAGCTTCCACTGTATATTCAGTTTCTAYGAGAATGGGAACAATTTGACAACCGGCCTGCCTGTGTTTTTCCTTTTAACATGCCTTTAAAATACAAKTATTAATTTATTCTTTTTRATATTTCTTGGGCAATGTGAGCTGTGAGRCAATGTGCCTCACAGCTTCGTCCAAGCATTATTCATTTCTTTATGCATATGTAAACCGTCTAAATTCCAAGTCAGAATGATCGCGTCTATTTAATCATTTCATATAGATATATCCATTTGATTCTTAATCTACATGTAGGTGACATTAAAAGTATTTCTTTGAGTATTTAAGCGTCTTAATGTCTATGCATCGAGTTTGATATTTCATCTGGCAAGCTGGAACGCAGATGRTATAGTCATGAATTTATGTATTATAAAAAGTAATACACCCGACATGAAGTANACGCAGTCACATAAAAAATATAATATAAAATCACTCGTTTTAAATCGTTTGCTATAGCACCACATTGCACTTACACTTTTGCCAACTCGAAATGAAGCATCGAAAGAAATAGCGTTTAATACAGCAAAACTGATATAATCAATCTTAATTTATTGAACTTAGCTGTTTGTTCTAAACGAAAACCGCTCAGACATGTTGTTTGAGCATTGTATACGAATTTTAATTCTGCGATATAAATATTATCTTTTGTACCCTAAGGGACTACAAAACAAGTGTATGAAATAGTACTAACGAACAAATGTTGAATCAATTACACAATGAAGACAAACTAATGTGTTTTAAAACTACTGTTTGATTACATCATTATCAAGCCTAGGTGTACAATACGATAAGGAGCTAGTTATGCGTTTTGGCGGCGTTGTTTACGCTTCCTTGACTAGAAAACTGAACATGATATCAAAGATGTTTCCTTACTTCCTCGCCGATAATAGTATTACAAAGTAATACCATGTCACTCGTGAAATTAGTGATTAAATTTCCCCGATACCTCGGGAAAATTTGTAAAAGTCCCTCGGGCTGCGCCCTCGGGACTTCAACAAATTTTCCCTCGGTTTCGGGGAAATTTAATCACTAATTTCCCTCGTTCCATGGTATTACTTATAATAATGCACCCGACATGAAGTATGTATTATAAGGAAAATATTAATGCACGTCAAAATTAATTCGTAGCAGACCTCCAAATCTCACGACATTTTATAAAATCAGCTATAGGTTTAATTCCATCATTTTCTCTTGTTTAATTCACCAAAAAGAAGCAATCGGCTACCAGACTCTGCGACGGATCATACTTAATGCTGATTGCAGATCCCAAATAACTTAAAACTACCACTATTAATTACGACAAATTACTCTTTTGTTTCAAATTCTTTAAATGCTAATTCTTAAATAGTGATCATTAATAATGGGGAATGATCTACAATGACATCCCTCGTATAAGAGATTGGGTTTTTAAAAACCTGTTATGATAAAAAAAATTAATTTTTAAGCCTCCTTCAAGTAGAGACTGAACAAGGCTAAAATGTAGGTTCTTTTCACTGGGTTTGCTCAGGCAGAATCTGAGTTAAGATCATTAGTCTTTTATATAAAGAAACTTGACCGGTGGCATGAACATTTTTGTTCGTTCAAGCTAAGTATCCTGTTCTATTTTTATATTTTTATAATAAATAAAGTAATATATTTAAATAAAATTCATTTTAAAGTGCAAGCAGGCATAAGAACCTATTCAGTTTAAGGGCCTTGGTAGCCGAATTTTGCTTCAATTAACATTTCTACAAGAGCTCATTTAGCCTAATGAAGAAATATTCAAGTTCTTAGAGACACGGGGCTATCGTACTGTCAGTACCATCATAGGTGTCAATTAGCATTAATCGACTCGAACCAAAGACGCTCTTATAATTGGTACCATAGACTCTGCAAACAGACTGGCAACTATGAGATCTTGGCCTGAACTGATTCACATATTTATTTCCTATCGCTGCTGATTTAGTATAAAGCCTGCTCACAGAGTCTGCTTCACTGAGTGGCATGGATGACACATACTACCACCTTCTAACCTTGATTTTCCCTCTATTTTCTCGTTTTTATAAGGCTATTTTTTGGCCTTCTCGAGGCTTTCGATTTACTCAAAGAATTTCACCTCTTTGATCTGCGGATTGGGTAGTGGTAAGAGCTGATTCTAAAAAAACACATGACTCAAGAAAAGAAATAAGGAATAAGTAGGAAATATTATCGGTCTGTTTTGATTGGGGCGGGGAGGGTAATGTTTGATTTGGGGGCGGTAGACTGTCTCAGTGACGTCAAACTTGTCACTAGGTCATCCGAGCAGGGGCTCGTCGCTTGCAGATGCTCCAAAATGGCCGAACAGGCTCCGAGAGGTTTCAACAGAAGGGGAGCTTTCAAGCACAAAAATGTGTTCAATGTGAAAGACCATCAGTTTATTCCTAAGTTCTTTCGACAGCCGACATTCTGTGCCCATTGCAAGGATTTTATTTGGTAAATAGCTGTTTTCTAATGCTGTATAATGGCGTGCTTTGTCGGGGTGGACAGTCAGCGGCTCAGAGGACTGTAAGACTTTCTGAGTAACTTTTAAACTTTTTTTAATGTTGTTGTGTTTTTATTGTTTTAGGGGCTTGCTTGGAGCTCAAGGTTTTCAATGTAAAGGTAAAATTTCATTTTTGTTGTTGATGTTCCGTGCTTTGTTTACTTCCTTTTTCTCCGTTCTCGAACGAATGGTTGAAATGAGTTTACTCTGCGTCTAAAATTGATGTTCAATTTCGGTTTGTTTTGATGCAGTTTGCTCGTTTGTTGTGCACAAAAGATGCCACGAATTCGTCTCCTTCAAGTGCCCGGGAGCTGAGGATATCAACGAAAATGTAAGCGAAATGTGGATAACTTCCATWTTCTTTTCAATCGTGCGAGTCAAAGGTTTATCCCTTAAATCCTCTCGCTAAGGCCACTTTTCACTATTCAGAAATATCTATTTAAAACCTCTATCTCTTCATTTACTCCTGTTTTACAGATACCAGTTTCTCCTCATCATTTTAAAATTCACACGTACTCAAGCCCAACATTTTGCGACCATTGCGGATCCTTGTTGTACGGTCTTATTCACCAAGGAAAGAAATGCGAAGGTACGATTTAGTGTATTTATGACAACAAACGAGGATCAGAGGTTATGTTTCAGATGTAGCTACATTGTAGGTACAAGAAACGTAGTAATACGAAAACAGTGTGAATTTTTTATTCGCTTATAATCTTCGATAATATATTTTTTTCAGCTTGTGAAATTAATGTACACAAGAAATGCGAGCAGGCAGTACCGAAGCTTTGCGGGGCCGATCATACGGAAAGACGAGGGCGAATCCATCTAAAAGTTACCTATGAACCAGAATCAAGCACAGGAGGAGAAGAGAAAGGGACACTCAGAGTTGAAGGTGAGATTTCACAAGTGATTTTCAGCGCAGCGATTGATTCATCAAATGCTGAAAGGAAAATACACATATATTACGTGTACATTGCGCCTATAATTTATGTACCAAGTTCAATAATAYGTCTTGGTGGTGTTTATATTCTCTAACACACCAGTTGTTTGACATATTGCTGGTAACATAATTTTTCCATCCAATCAGAAAATTCTCTCTGGACCCGAAACGTAGATTCCAATCCTTCGATCAAGTGTTCTAGAACGAAAAGAAAACAAATGTTCCGATTTTTAATCATCTCAAAGTAAATGTAGATATGACAAGCACATGACAATTTCAAGAAATTCCCACTATGTACTTCATTCATTTAAAAATTACTCTGCGTTAGACCTTCAAATGAAAAAAATACTAGTTTTTAGTCAAGTGTTTTTTGCCWTTTTGTTGGTTTAATGTCTATTTTTTAAATGTACCTTTTTGTATTCGCTATTTCTCATTACAAAGCTGAATAATTTCTAACTCATTAATTCTTTATTTCATTCATCTTTTAATATGTTATAAATAATGAAATTCCAGTCTCCTAAAGTAGTCTCATTTCCTAATAAATATTGGCGAGCTTTAATCAAATTTAGTGGATATGCTCAAACAATTTTGTTTTGCTATCTAAACTTTCTGTCTTACTGGGCTTTCAGTTGACTTGTACTGAACATATWCATGTCAATGCAGATAGCATACTGATAAAATTAGTCTGAAACCTTGAATTATTAAACCTCTTCCATTAAACTTTGTCTCATTTGGGTGATTTTACTCCAATATCTATCTGGACTTCTTTTGACATTAAAATTATTACCAGCCAGTGTTTTATATGAAATTTTCTATTTAACTACACAATTTCTTTCTTTTCATATCAATTRCAAAAGACTACTTGATAATCCTGCGACATTCTCTATGTTATATATTAAAACTTTGACCAAAAAGACAAAGATATTGGTGTTAATAATTCTCTATTGTATTAGCTTCATTTAGCATGGAGTTTGCTTAAATCGATGTGACCCTTTTTTATAATTTCAGTGTGTGTACACAAAAGTCTTCATTAATTATTTATTAAACATGAAGATCCATCACATGATCAATCTATTTATAGGTGTTTTGAATTGTAATTGGAGATTATACATGATATTCCAAGGAATTGTACATTCAATACTTGAACAAATCCAAGTGTTTGTCTGTCTAATTACTGTTTGCATTGATAGCRATATGATGGGGCATCAAAAGTTATCATGGATGTTTTTGTGGGTTACCAATGAACTCTTCATTAAATTATAAGATTGCAAMCTTTAATTTTGCATGAGATGATATTTTTTTTGTATAGTTGTCCATTGATGACTCCTATTTACATAAGGTTATARATATCTCTATGGTGATTAATAAGTGCCGTGTCTGAAATCATTATCGTGTTAGATCRTGAGATAACGTTTAGAAGGATGCAGGATTTTTTCATGTCAAAACAGTTTGGTTCTGAATATATCAATACTACAAAAACKATAAAAAAAGAAATGCATGATAACCATATTAAAGATATAGAGTCATCACGTTTCTTATCTGCAGCTGTCATCATTTACATCAATTCAACATGTAAATCAAACATCAAAACCCTTTCTCTTTTTAGTTACACAGAAATCTARGTTAGAATAACAGTGTGCAACTACACCATRTTAATAATTATTGAACAAACGCTAGTTTTTTTAACTGTTGGAAAAAATATCAAACATTAAAACAGTCACAACARTTTTGTTTACATTTTTCATTTGAATAATTGATATTTAACACAAGAAATAAGCTCAAGATGGTGTGTGTTATGCCTGAGTTAAAAATTTATGCTTATGGCATTCGGCATATCATGATTGAATGAATCTTTGTCTTGTATAACATCCTGTTCTCATTTAGATATTAAAAATGAGTTTTTTAAGTGTTGACAATGTAATTTATGAGTTTGTAGACTCCAAAATATAATTCTTGTGGCGGCTTAATTGCTGAACCAATAGCTTTATACATGGCCTACTGCTGGGAGCTGAGACAAAGGTTATTTTAAAATGACATATTTTGTTTTTAACTTTGAATGCCATGTTTTTGGGAAATTACTTGATGATTTTATGAAAAATAAAGAGTTTTGAATTAAAAATTGTATTGTTTTTTTCAATGCATCATTGTAAAGTTTATTATTTTTGGTTTCCTGTTATATTCYAATTGTCATAAATTCAATTTTTAATTTATTTATAACCTTCCTTTGGATTTTTGATTCGAATGCAAACCATATTGTGATGCCAAAAGTCTTGACTCTCTCAAAACCTAATCTTTGCATTTGCTTTTCTTAGTTTTATCCGTATTCATCATTTTAAAGATTCAATGATTTAAGGTTTCACACTTTAATCTTAGTGAGAACTGAACAGTTTATTTGACATTGCTCAAGRTTGATTTAACGAAATGTCATTGAAGTCTTGATATTAGCTGCAAAGTGATTCATTTAAGATTCACTGATACACTTGAAGTGGTATTACTATAAGTTGATATTGACTGTGAAATCTTCTTGAGTGCAAAAAGTGTATTTYGTTGTGCTTCAGGAGTGTTTAGTTTGCTGCACATTTACGACAAGAGTCAAGAGCAAAGCGTTGATGTAACCTGGTTGTGTTCAATCGTTCATGGCTGTGATAAGAGCAGAGAGTTTTTGAGTTGAGATTGCTATACCATACTGTTAAGTACTGCTATTCCCACCCTCTTGTCTTTACTTYTCTTATTTGAACTTTTGTTCTCTAATTTTATTTTATTTCATCTCTTCTCTTTCATCTTTGTACTTCTATTGTCTCTTTTCTTGAGCCTTTTGAAAAGCCAGAGGTACATGTAGACATTTCATTGTTTGTTTTGATGCTACACATGACAATGAACTCTCATCCTTGTTCCACATAGGTCAAAAGTTTGATATTATGGTCCTCTAATTTGAATCTCATTGCATAATTCTAATTGGTTGGCCTTATTTATTGGGCCAATCATGAAAGAGATTCATTTTAACTCTAGTAACAAGCAGACACAGTTAAGTGATGCCAATGCYGGGAACAAACAATGATTGATAGAATATTTTCTCTTTAGAATCTCCTCTTCTCATTTTCTCTATTTTCAACTCTTCTAATTTCATTCCTCTTCTCTTTTTTCACAGATTTTCTCCTTTATTCCTTTTTATCCTTCATCAAAAATGGAAAAATACATTATCAATGTACAATCAACTCAACCAAAGAAACGCACTGTCTGGACAGATTTAACAAACAAACACGCACAAAAAGAAAACACTAAATGCTAAATTTTAGTAATAACATTTCTTCTTGATATAGCATTTTCTTCTTTCTATAAATCTACCTACAGAATTTCAAAACATTGTAGCTTGTGTGTTGTCCCTTGTGAATTTGCATACTAGAATTAATCAAGTAGGATTTGATGTGTGAGCAGCTGTTACCTCAATCATCCTGCAGGGAGTTATCACTTTACATAGGAAATCTTTAGATTTATACTATCTTGGTCCCTTAGGATATTTTTGATTTAAGGATTTCACTGACTTCGTGTTAAGATGTGTTCGTATAAATATAGACAATTCCTCCTAGCCCTCCCTCCTCCAAAAATATAGAAAATGGAACGAAATTAAGAACTAAAAAACTGGTTTTGTCAGTTTACTTTATTACTCATAAATATGTATCTTTCATCTTAAATTGTTGCTATTTGATCTATTTCCAGATTGTTTGCTCATCAATATATTATTCATTCATGTATTATTTTTCATAATTAATTGSTTCATTAAGAAATTCATTCATTGATTGGAACTTTCATCCTTTTCCCTTTCGTTATTTTATTTTTTCACACATTGATTCATTTGCTAATCTTTTTTATCACTTTTGGCGTTCTTACAATCTCAGTATTTTGTGTTACCTTGGTGACCTACATTGTACTTTTCAGAAAGACACAAATCTCCACACCCTGACTTAACCGCAACTAATTTTTAATGCGAAATTAGAACTATTTCATAAAAAAATMATCACATTATGTTCATTGGTCTACATATGGGAGGAAGAGTACATAGAAATTTTATTTTTTATGATAGAAGCAGAGTGCTTTCCATTAGAAGTGCTTCCCTACTCATTACAACATTTGATGACATTTTCTAGTATTCATTTGATGATTGTTATCTTTGATAAGTCTTTTGATTCAACATGTAATATTGGCTCACGTCTCATTTAGAATTTTGTCTGCTTCAAGAATACAATACATACTTATTGTAATTTAAAAGACGGCTTCTTATGAATAAAGAAACTTGCAAATATTTAGCTTTATGAATTACATCTGTCCATTTTCTCAAATTAGGATTTTTAGGATGTAAAGGAAAGTGCCTTTTTATTAACAAAGTGCTAGTTGCTTCCTTGTAAACATTTCATAAATTTTGCACACAACTACTTTGTGTCTCATAATACTAACATATTAGAATAAACTGCTTGTTACAAGCTAGCAAATTCTGATATTGTGATGATAGCTGAAAGAAATTATTGTTTAAGCATTCACACCCTCTGCCAAATTAAATTACCAAAATGTTTTCATTATTGATTACATTATTTTGTTTTATTCATTTTTATTTTCTTTTTTGGATATTTGATTTAAAATACGTGACTGTGTCGTTCAATTCATTTARCATAATGTACAGCCATGCTGTTTTGAAGACAGCTCTGACACAGTGTGACATATAATCTCATGGAGATCAAGCATATTGTGCAATTACCACAAGTTTCACTTTCTCAGGAGAATAGATTTTCTATTTTAACATTAACCAGCAAAAAGAGCCTTATAAATATATATGTTTTACTTTATTRTGCAATCTTTCCATTAAATTTCTGTGCTTATATTCAACTGTCTTTTATCCTTCTTAATTAACCAGGCAAAATACATGCAATATTTAGATACATGACATTTAACCTAATTAAATATTTATATCAAAATTGCTCTGTTGTGAATTAAATTCTTTGAAATTAGTTCTCAGGGGAGGGCAGAAGTTGATATAATCAAGCAGTTTTCTTTTAAATAATTTTGAAGAAAACTGCTCAATTATTTATATTATTTTTATCTCTTTGTCATGCAATTCAAACCAACGTTTGTTTTTGATTGTTCATTTTGAAGATTCTTTCTGTTTTTTTTTTATCAACAATGCAGGCAGTTTGTGCTAATAAGAAAATGCATTTTTCCTTTCTCCCTCATGGGTAATCTAATTTTGCCAAATTTATTTTTTTATAACAATTAACTCTGTGTTGCTGTGTACTTGTAAYTTCATATTAATGTTATTTTGCTGATTTTTAAAGTTCGAGAGGCCAAGAATCTGATCCCAATGGATGTTAATGGCTTTTCTGATCCCTATGTCAAAGTCAAACTGTTACCAGAYCCAGATAGCAGCAGCAAGAAAAAGACAAAGACTATCAAGAAAACACTGAATCCAGTCTACAATGAATCATTTGACTTGTAAGTCTACATGTATCAAACTCTGCTAGTTACAAGGTTGCAATAGCTTTCTGAAGCTTTAATGCCACCTAATTGATTTGCAATGCATTATGGGAACTTGATTTGCAATGCATTATGGGAACTTGATTTGCAATGCATTATGGGATCAATTTGTGGAGAAAACAGATGTAATCTGATATATATAGTCCCAAACATACATGTCCTAGAACCTACAAAACATACAGAACATTGTTATCTTTTAACCATTTTCAGCAAAACCAAATCAAAGGACAAAGATCGAAGACTGTCAGTGGAGGTCTGGGACTGGGACAGAACTTCTCGTAATGATTTCATGGGTTCCCTGTCKTTTGGAGTTTCTGAGCTTCTCAAGCAAGGCGTTGAAGGATGGTTCAAGCTGCTCAGTCAAGAAGAAGGAGAATATTACAATATACCAATCAATGATGATGGTCAGGCTGTTTCTGAATTACAGAGGAAGTTTAAGGTAATTCATGTTATTATTTTCTAAARATGTAAACTTACTTTGTGGTTTTTGTGGTTACTCCCGTCTTAAGACGGCTAATCAAATCACTATGTTATCATTTGCAATTTAGAAGTAACATTCAGTAAGTAACAGTCACATGAATCGAGGCAACCCCTCACTTTACCCCCCTGAATATCAACAATCGCCATTGAACCTCCCCGCTGTCACAAAAACCGTCTATTATGCACCCTTTTAATAAGTACCGAGGTTTTACGTTCTCCGCACTTGACGTCAAATTTATTCTTTTGAATTCCTTTTGTATTTTAGAAATTTCAAAACAATAAATTTGACGTCAAGTGCGGAGAAAACAATACCTTGGGACTTATTAAAAGGGTGTATATATGAGAATTTTCTTACATATTAATCGATGTTTGTTATGTAGTAATCACGTTCATTGATACGTGGAAAACCTCTCGTTAGTTATTGTAATGACCATCATTTCTAATGTCATCAAAATCATTGTCATCTTCATTAACATTGTATCATCATCATCATAAGTCTTATAATTAATAAATAATAATGATAATGTCTTCATGGAGTATTCTTGCATCGTCAATGAATCATTGAAATGATAATAATGATCGTCATTAATATTTCCATCATTTTAAAAAGCCTTATTCCTGTCATTCGTTTCATAATTTAACTCGAATTCTGTTGCTTCTCTTCAGTATTTGAAAACTCAATTGGAGGAAGAAGAGAAGCGTTATCTAGCTAAGAAGGACATGGTTGCCTCGGACCCTAACTGCAAAAACTTTAGACCAGAAGATTTTCATTTTCTGAAAGTGTTAGGAAAAGGAAGYTTTGGAAAGGTAAGTGAGCTAAGCTTTTCTACATTTAGAGGCTTAAAAGGAAGTCCGGTTATACAGCCTATGAATCGAGGTTTCACAGGAATTCCTCCCGGCAATTTAGAAAAGGGAAGAATACAATAGCAAAATGGTCATAATTGTTTCGTTAATTAACTTCCGAAGGATAAGTGCTTCTGTGAGCGCTTGAAAAGCTTGATAAAAACCAWGTTGAAAGCTTGCCCTTTTTCAAATGCTTCCCAAAAGCCTGCACTCACAGCACAGCGGTCATTCCTTTAGGTCATGCTTGCAGAAAGAAAGAACACGGACGAGGTTTATGCCGTCAAAGTGCTCAAGAAAGACGTCATCGTTCAGGATGATGACGTTGAGTGTACCATGACAGAAAAGAGGGTTTTGGCTTTACTTGGTAAACCTCCGTTTCTAACATCGTTRTTTTGCTGCTTTCAGTCATTGGTATGTATCTCTAATGCTTTTTGYTATGTTGAAATAGTGAGTTCTTGTAACCGATTAATTTAGACTCGTTCGCAGTCGTTGCGGTTTTGCGCATTTCATTCTCCTTCACTTATCATTGCGCGCCTCATAAAACAGCAAGGGGGTTACTTGGTTCGAGTCTAGCCACTAGCCTGCTTCCCAGGCAACTCTTTTTTCCTCCTTCGGGCTTTCTTTGTAACGGTCATATTGAGCGCTCCCCTCTTTCGCTCCCATTCTCCCTCTTCTTGCCAGCAAAAAGACAGGAAGCCCGTGACTCTTAGTGATGACTGTGGAGGAGGCTAGTTCGAGTCTAGTTGTATTTTACAACTCGTATTTTTTAACTATTAGAGCAGTAGTTTACTAATATTTCCAGGGGGAATCATTGATGATAGATTGATATAGTTTATGTATGGACTGTTTATTGTCAAATATCTTTAAAATACAGCGCTGATAGGCTACTAATACAAGGTTTATTGGCCTATCAGAGTACATTACATGTGCTGTATTTGCAGGATCGACTATACTTTGTCATGGAGTTCGTTAATGGTGGTGATCTTATGTTTCACATCCAGCAAGCTGGACGGTTTAAAGAACCACAGGCAGTGTAAGTCAAAACAGACGCTTCCTGRTCATCAAACAAATCTTTGTACCTAAACTYTATGGTACATTCTTACTGAATTGGTTTTGACCCTATACGAGGTTTTAGCTAACCTCATCATGTTTTATTTTCTTAGTTTCATTTAGTCTCCTCTCGCAGCCGTTAGGACGTTTGTTCCCAGGTCACTTCAGGAGACTAAGTTTCATTCAGGTTGATGGTTTTTCGTTCGGTGATGCAATAATATGATTTTACGCAATGAATTGATTTTTGTTCTGTTTTTTTTTGTTTGTTGTTGTTGCCAGGTTCTACGCTGCAGAGATCGTTATTGGATTATTGTTTTTACACAAGAGAGGAATTGTTTATAGGTATTGTTATATTTCTATTTATTACTCCTGTTTTCTCTTTCCCTTTCATCCTTTCTCCTTTCATCTCGTATGCCACACTATCACACACCTACATTATCACTGTTAACAGTACCATCATAATCATTTATCATTATCATCGTCATCATCATCTGCTCATTATCTTCTCAAATTCATATGACTAGCACCATTATATCATGTAATATTTCATCTAAGTTGTTGATTATTTTTGTAGAGATTTGAAGCTTGATAATGTGATGTTAGATAGCGACGGTCACATCAAGATAGCTGACTTTGGTATGTGCAAGGAAAACATGGGCGAAGGCAAGACAACACGAACGTTTTGTGGTACGCCGGACTATATAGCACCGGAGGTAATGGCTTATTTCTCAGTATTATCACAATGCACTGGTCCTTTCTGTTGACGTCATGGGATTGATGAAAGTACGCCAATTGAATTCATGTCAACCTTGTGTGCTTGGCTGCTCTGGGAGCAATAGCAACTGCATTCAGGCTCTTTTTGAATAGACGTCGAAAGCTTTTACGTAACCGACGTGATTTGCAATGCATTGTGGGATCTGTTTGTGGAGAAAACAAAAKAAATACGCCATGTTTTGTACCAAACATATTCTGCAATGCATTGTGTATACGGTCAATGACGTAAAAGCTTCAGAGGTTTGATACTCTCAACATTTCGAAGAGAAACTTCGTCCTCTGTGTTTTTTTTTTCAAACATCCGCCATCTTGATTCTTTTATCAGTACCATGATGCATTGCGCCAAACTAAGCGTGACGTCATAAGGCCAAATGAAAATAAAGATATCCTTTTAATATCATTATTATACTTTTAATTAATCCAGATCGTAGCCTATCAGCCTTATGGCTATTCAGTGGACTGGTGGGCRTTGGGTGTCTTGATTTACGAGATGTTAGCTGGGCAGGTATGATAACTCGTGGATTACATGTGTATGTATCACGAACATTTTCTAAAACGAAATTAATCTTAGAAGTGAAATAAAATACAAAGCAAATGTAATCTAATACAGAATTATCTTCCATCATATCCAATATATGTATTTTATTGTTGTTCTTCAGCCACCATTTGACGGGGACGACGAGGACGAGCTGTTTAATTCAATTTTAGAACACAATGTGTCTTATCCCAAATCAATGTCAAAGGAATCAGTGTCTATTATCAAAGGGGTAGGTTTCCCATTACTACACTGTACATCTTAAGTTACATTACACTCATTTTCGCGCACTGATTGGCCACGTTATCATTCTTTGTCTGCAAACTATTCCAAATATGTGGTGTCTGTGAATTTGCCATACTTGAGTAGGGAACGGAAAACTTTTATCATCATCACCGTTGTACTGGATCATATTATAGTATGCACCATCGAAAAAAAGCYAGGAAGAGTGTCCAGGAAACAGAAGGGCACGTTCTGACAATGCTTTCTGTTGTTGATTTAGTTCCTTACGAAGCATCCTGCCAAGCGACTGGGGTGCTCCGACAATGGCGAATTCGAAATCCGTGATCATCTGTTCTTCAGGCATATTGACTGGGTTAGGTTGGCTTCAAGGGAAGTTCAGCCACCTTTTAAGCCGAAAATCGTAAGTACTTCCCAGAAATTCCTATTCTACTGTTATYCAGCCGGGTATTAAGAATGTTTTTCTGTCCTTTCTTTCAGAAATCCAAGCGTTCTTTTGATAATTTTGATCCCGAGTTTACAGATGAAGCTGCTCGGCTGACACCGTGTGACAAGTCGTTCATAGCTAACATAAACCCAAAAGACTTCGAAGGCTTCTCGTATGTTAATCCTGAATTCGAATCAACTGAAGGCGAAATCAACCTCTGAGGGAAACCACAACCCTTTGCTTTAGGTCAATTCTCTCAATTCTAGACATCATAACATGAAAATTATTATATAATGAATCGTTACCAGGTCCYCGCTGGTAGCACTGTCCTTCGTCGGACGCGTTACGTGTCACGTGAGACCTTCAAGTGGACGGTTTTTAGTCACGTGCACCGTTTCCAATCCCACTCGTCTCAATCAAGCTCCGAAGGACTAGAAAATAGATATTGTAATAGTAGATTGGAAATTTGGATTTCCTTTGTTCGAAATTCGAGTTATTAGATTTTCACACATTTGGGGGATTTATTTTGATATGATAGTTTGAGGATGTCCCACACGTGAGAGCGGGTTGCTTCTGTATAAATTAGTCACRCATGTGCGGGTTTATTGTAATTCCATCGAGTTATTTATTGTTCTGTCTTCTATGTTGTCACGATAACTCRCTATATTATCCCTATAAACCGTTTTTTTTTTAAACGAAAGAAATACAAAGGAATTTCATATTCATATTCATGTCCAGCGGTGTTTSCCTTTGAAAATATTGCGGGATACCTGTGTTAGAAAATACTATCGCGCAACRGATTTCATTGAGGAAAATACCTCTTTAGCTTCATTAGGCACATATAGAAGTAGGAAAAACAATTTTTGCTATAGTAAAACTTGCACGGAAGAAGTTCTAGTCTTATATCTTCTGGCAACGGAATATCTGCGAGGGTTAAATAGTATTTGAATCGTAGTGCGAAGATTATGTAGACATAAATTATGAGATTTAATCCAGTTTTCCAAGATGGTAAAGACTCCGGTCATATGACCCCAGGCTCTTTGAAAAGTCAATCGAAGGCAAATGGCGGAGATAGCTTGGGCTGACGTTATATGATGAATTATCGGTAATTAGACTGTTCACAAGCAGTACATTTGTTTCAACYTCGTTCACATGCAAATTGCCGACCGCCATACTGGATTGGGACGATAGGTTAGTTTGTGAGCACAATATCTTGGCAAAAATTAATATATTAAGAATTCAACACAAAACGACTGGAAGCTGTCTAGAAATATTCACAATATTAGAATTTTTAAATTAGAATAAGAAAATAATTAAAATACGCGTGTAATTTAGGTTTGTGGGTCAAGCGGTTATGTTAGAGGTTGTAATTTATTCATTCCACATAATACGTCGTTGTTTTTGGTCAGCAGACTTTGTAAATAGAGCACATATCACCAGTAAACAGGAGTTAGCCTGAGATGTAGTCACTCATTTTGAGTTGAGATATTAAAATTGTCACACTCGATAACGATTTTCACATTTATTATGTCCCGCCCACACAATACCAGGTGAATCCGAAAACGGAATCTTTGATGTTGGAACCGGGAAGATTGTTCTTAAGCGTCAACTGCCAAAATAGTTTTAATCATTGCCTTTCTGGGTAGTCTCCTCGCAGCCGTACTTTCTGGGATGAAAGTTCCGTTTTCATTTTTTCTTGCCTCGGTTAAACGAGGTCAAATGTCAATTTTGCGCGGTAAGTGCGTAGAATTAATGTTTAAAGCCGGGATAATCTTGATACATGAAGCGCGCAACAATGTCACTAGCTATGAGAATCTTTTTGAATGTAGCACGATTTTAATGCGCAAAATTGTTTATCAGAGGCAATTTTTGTATTTCTTTCTTTTAGTTTATCCATCTTTGATACATTTTCCAACTGTGTAGCGCGCTAAACGTATCCAAGCTTAGCCCTGCACTTCAATGTTCGGGTAACAACATAGCGCAGACTGAAATAGAATGATCGGACTTTGAGTAAAGGCTCAAAGGCGATAACAGAGTCACTTCATTAGTATGACTACTGAACTTTTAAGTATTCAAATTTTAATTCAGTCCGATGGAAATCACTCTCAAACCAGAACAAGATCRAGCAAACTAATTTCTTAATACAAATTTCACTCATTTTTATTCAAATAAATTCTTCACACATATCTATCTAATACTAAAATTTTTCTAATTATTTTAATAATCTAATATACACTTAAATGCAAAACTTAAAGCACTCCCTGATATTGATGTATGCTTTCTAATCATTATCCATGTCCCACATGGTTGCCCACAATTTTTGAAAGTAATAATTKCGCACGCGCCTGCGCATACTGATAGTGTAGAGAGCATCGCAGGTGCGCACGATATCCCAACGTAAACCTTACAATCATAACTGCTAAAAATTGTCACGGATCGYTTCCAGAAGTATTTAGTTGTAACWGGCGTGAAACCAAAGCTAGCAGTTCAATGTAATAGTCAAATAAATGAAATGAACTAGAAAAGAAATTATAGCGAGTGCTTGCTTAGTGAAGAACCCTAGGGTACTTACACAACTAAAGGTTACATAATAATTCTATGCGTGAAGAACCCTAGGGTCCTTAAAGGGCACATAATATTACTATTTTACGCAAGTAAGCACTCGCTYTTGGTACGCATATTTTGCTCCTCAGATCCCAAACAAATACATAGCTAAACTTAATTCAAACTAAACTAGAKTTTCCGATGTGAAACGGATATTCACTCGAAACGAAGTCAAATCATGATATTTTTATTAGGAATGGAAAGTGCAGCAGACGTTATTAAGTATAGCAACTTTGCTACGAATGTCTACTAACAGACATCATATAAAATGTATGACTACAAGTTCGCCCCGCCCCCCCTTCCCCCTTAGTACATTGTAACCCATTGAGAAAAAAATGTTGTCGAATAATCGACGAATAACAGACTTAAATTGAAGACCTTTACAATCGCGAAATGGCTTTGAATATATAACATCCAAATATGGCCTATTATCACTGCAAGCGCACGAGTGCGCGTCTGTTATTCGGTTGCTATCCAATCCACGAGTTACATAATTGTACACCTTCACTGTAGCGTACGTAAAGGGCATATTATAATTCTATTTACAAACTTTATCTTTTAATTATAATTGATAATTCAAAAKTTATGCACTGGTGATTTTTTTACACAAAATATTTCCATAAAAAATATTCATTTGCATGCCTTAGCAACTTTCTTTTAGATAATTTGCGATGAAATGATGGCTTAAATTTTGGATTTGAAGMTTRTGTTGGTCGATGAGACTAAAATATTATACTGACTACKTCGACAATGATCCTTTGCACGCTTTAGGGCCAAGATCTTTAGACAACAAATGAGGTCTGCGCGCTTTTGCTGGGACGTCATTAGTATACAAAAAACTCATTYTACTTAGGAACTTTTATTAACATAGTAATAGCATATTTTAATCTCTCAACCTTTAAATGCTTGAAATAAATTTKGCGTAAGATTTTAAAGATTTCACTCCATAAATTCACACTCCTATATGGGCACGCTACATATTTTGGTCTTATTTTATATTCTTAATTAATTCTTAAATAAACTCGTTAATACTATAAATTAATCAAATTTAGTTTTGTGATATTTATATTCTATAAAAGCACAATATTTGTCGACAACTGTAACGATTTTAAGATCTTTGGAACTAGCCTGGGGGACCTACTGGCGTTTCGTTAGGTCAAGATAATGAAATMTATTCACTTTTTCCAAGAAAATGTACTCTCTGAAGTGCAAGTTTGGAGCTAGAAGGTTGAAAAATGACCCTATACAACACATTTATTGGAATTTGCCGTTCTAATTCCTCTGTTCTTAATAATACCCCACAGTTGTAGACAAGCATTGCGCAGAGAATATTAGCTAGCAATTCTAATCTATAAATATTCCAGCGTGGATTACCTGTGGTAGTTACCATACACTGTCCAATATGTTGTTATTTTCATCTGTATATCTCATATCGAAGCACGAATCAGCCCATGGGTGATCATCGTCGTACAAGGGGGGTGGTGACGGGGGCATGTACTTGAATAATGACTGTGTTGCATCTGTTAATGCTGTGGGGGAGGGGGTAGTAAGGTGATCCCTTGGTGGTTGGATTGCAATGCCTTGTATAGTTAAATCTAAATCTGGATCGACTTCAAATGTATCATCGTGACTACCCGTAGACGGGGGTGGACTTAATGCTGGTGACGATAGTCCCCCTATGTGATTATTTGGACTGTCTAAATTTATCCCATGAGCATCTGCGAGCTCACGAATGCTTTCATCCAATTCGTCGTTAGTTAGAAGCGAATGCCAGCTGAATTTTCCTTTCAATCCTCCTGAAAACGGCGGTATTTCCTCCTCGGAAAAATCACAGCCATCGAAAATGTCAGAAGGGTCGGTTACACGAAGGGTATTGAATTTCTGTCGTTTTATTTTAGACTCGTCGCTTGGTCGAGATGTGAAACGTTTCCTGTCGCTTTCGATGGGTTTTTTGATGGTCTTTTTGGCGTTCTTTTTGGCATTTTTCTGCGTGTTGACACCTCGCCGTCTTTTAAAAACGCCGTCCACAAACATGTCAGCGTATGCCGGGTCGATCTTCCAAAAGCCTCCTTTTCCTGGTTCGTCTTTTTTYCTTGCGACTTTTACAAAACACTTGTTCAGGGAGAGATTGTGACGGATTGAATTCTGAAAATGAAGAGCATTCAAACATTTATRGCGCTTTTGGCTTTTYCAAAGGAAAAAAAAAGATATTTTAAGGCGGAATGTAAACATGAAAGCCTTGATGATTTCCAGAGTAATATATAAAAGATATGAGATTTTTAATTTTAACGGTCGGTAATTCAATGTCATATGGTAAATAAAACTGTTTCTAAGGCAAACATCAAAAGCATGATAATATTATTGAAAAACGCACTTATATGAATCAGATCAAAGCAGACATACAAAGGAAAGCGAAAAATATCACTAATGGTCCCTTAGTTTTTTTCAATTTCGCTTTCTCACATATTGCATCTACTGAAAGTGCGATAACTTTACAAAATGACTAGAAATTAAAAATATTAGTGCATATAAGGTCAATTGAACGATGCAAAACTCATAAATAGCATRAGGCCGTTATATATTCACTTATTAGGAACACCTCTGATATTTAAACAGAAGTTATAAATTGTGACTTCTCTGATTCAAAATCTTATCGGTCTAACTATAAATCTTCATATATGACCATATGAACTAGCTCTTTCAAGAAGGCTGAACAAAAATGGCTCCCGCGAAGAGACGTTATCACTTTAGGAACAAATACTTCATTCTTTTTACTTCATTCAACTTCGTAATATTCCATGTTGTTAATGCACTTAGTCAAATATTTGCTTTTTTTTGCTAGACGCACATATTGCGAAAATTTGAGTTGGTCTTTCAAGGAACATAGCAAATAACATTAATATAACCACCGCAGTAGTTTGACTAAATGCAGTGGAAATTAAAAACTGTCGGTGTTTTGAGCAAAATTTAGCACTGATCTTCTACTCAATTAAATTCAGAATTTCAATTTCAGTATTTCATCCAGATAGACTAATCCTTAAAATAATTATGTCTTATTAAAAAATAAGTAAGGGAATAATCTAATATCCTAACTTGACTTGATATACAAATGTTACTTTTGGAACGGAACATTTGTTTATGGGAATTATTTATTGTAGTAGGAAGAAACGAGAAACGAATGCCTTACGAACTGCACGGGAGTCCGACAAAGTTCGCATAGTATTAATAATACATAATTTATTCTYTATTTCTTAATTCACTGTTCTTCCTTAGTGACAATTTCTTTTGTTTCTTGATGTTAAATTACTTTCTTCTAAGGAACAAATTATGTACCAAAAAAGAAAAAAGTTCATCTTGTCGGCTAGTGTTTTCAGTTTGAACCCTCAGAAATAAAAGCAGTTCTCCGATTTCCAACTTGATTAACGAAAAGTTTTGACCAACAACAAAATTGAGGGTTGAGATATTAATTCTAAGTGAAGTTTCCAGCGAATTAATAACCGGAGCTTTTTCGTAAATTACATCGGAAGAAAAGTCAAGCACTTGAAGAGGTAAAAGCTAAGCATGTCCTCTTTCGCTACGACGCATTTTTACCATTTAAACCGCACGGATATAGAAGGTTATAAGAACATTAGGTTTTATTTAGGCAATCATTTCATTGAAACGAAAAAGAAAATATTATTATTGCAGGCTAGCCAATAATGTTTAGCTAAGTACAGTAAGACATTTATACATTTAGCGAAAACTGAAGTCTCGCCTACAGCTCTCTTATTATTTGTCACCTTTCAAAAGCCTTCTACTTGTCATAATTCAGCTATAATGAAGGGAAGAAAGCTTCCTTTTAAGTACCTTCAATATTTTAATATTCAAGTAAGATGAAAAAAAAAACGACAAAAATAATGACTTCGAATTTCCGCGGGAAAAAATTACAGCAACAACGCTGAGCTGCGAATGATTCTGCCATAGCGTTTGAAAAATAAACAAAAATCAGCTGCTTTTCAATATAAATCAGATAACATTACGTTTCTATATTTGAGGTACTCTAAAGTGGACAAAATACTAATTGTTCTGTCTCACAAACTCAGGATATGACATATTAGCTGGAAACTCGACTGTAGCCTCACCGCCGGTCCTTTCCATATGATCATCAAATGTAAACAACGTGATTACGAGTGTGCGCTTTCACTTAGTATATTTACTTTTTAAAGCTAATTCCCTGACAGTTTTCAGAATTTACATACAGGACAGATTTCCCTCGACTGAAAAATATAAACAGAAGTTTTTCTAACAAAAATCGGAGTTAAATAGCGCGCGTCAGTTTTTGGCTTTTCAGATAAGACAAAATTGCAATCGAGAAAAAATCATTTTGAGGAAAGCTACCCAAGTGGGCTCAAGTATTCTAAAGAGTATATTTTTTGTTTATCGATTCTATCTTCGTTGGTGGTAATTTATACTTATGTGTGACAGTTGAGTTGTGGATAAAAATGATTTCTAACTCTCTGCTCGCACGAATGGAAATGAGTCGTTCTATATAACATTAGTTCTTCCTAACTTCCAAGACTGTTTTACATAAGCCTAAAATATTGCAATGTACAGTTTACTTAACAAGTAWACTTTCAAATTATCTTAAGATAAGAGAAGGGCAATCTATTATTCTATATTTTAAATTCAAGAAAAAAAAACACTTGGGTTTTGAATGGCTAGTTTCAATTTAAAAGAACATACATTTCTTTTATTTCCTCTTCAAAATGGCGTCCTAGTGTTCTTAAAATTGCCAATAGCGCTGTTGGCGCGGAAAGTCGGCTCTAAAACAATATAAAAGATATGCAAGCTGCAAAAAAGTACCAGTCGAAGAACAATATATTAAGATCAACATCGTATCATGTTATTTGAATAATATTGAATGGACAATTTCCGACCTCATTCAAAAGGAAAGCACAAATCTTGCAGAGTATTGTACAGGTGGCACTAAATAGTTTCGTCGCCAAGTGTACCGAAAAAGAGTTAGATTTTCTCCAAATTTTCCGCATTTGCATTTTAATGTAATGTAATGTAACAATTTAAACCTTCGTGCAAACTCTTTTCCGTATACAATTGCAACTGAGTTTTGAAAAGCTGGATTTAAATCGTTTTTTCTTTGTCATTGTGATTTTTTTTGGGTGAAGATAATTTTCATAAACTATAAGTAAGTAAATCATATTCGAGTTTCAGCTACCGTTATCTCAATTTCAGTCTAAGTAGCAACGCCCCTCACTTAGTAAAAAAAAAGCAATGAAGACAATGCATSCTTATATTTTTCCGTTTCATGTGAAAATCGCTTTAAAATGTATATTTCTCCATTCCTCCATGAGGATAAAATTAATGCGAATTTTATTTTGGGTTTAGAACAATTGTCATTAAAAATTTACAACTTCACAAAACATTTCAAAGGYATTGGAACAAAAATAATTTAAAGACAAGTTCTACAAATTCATGCAGGTCTAATTTCAATTATGTACAAAACTAGGGGAGCAAAATCTGAGTATAAACATTATAATAAAAGATTGCAATTTTGCGCTTAAAAATGATCCCCAAATCGTTCAACATAATCCATTAATGTTAATATTCATATCGAACAATTCTCAACAATGAAGTTAAAAAAAGAACTGCAAAGACATGGTGGAAATTACAAACAAATATCAAAATACAATTCTTTACCTGCCAAGTTGGATCCGCAACCCTGTAATACATGAAGTTTTCTTTTATCCACTTGTAAATAGCACTTAACGTTATTTTTACTTTTTTGGTCTCTCTCATTGCCATGCATATTAGTGTAGCGTAGGAGTAAGGAGGTTTGTGATGTGGATCATTTTTGTAGTCAATATTCGGTTCTTTTGACAATAATTCTGATCCCTTGGAATCTCCGCTCTCGCTCTGACAGTCACTATCCGAACTATTTGACCCTTCGTTCACACTCGATGCGTCAGATAATGTCGAGTTCCTAGTTGCAGTAATGTCCTGTATATTTATGTTATGTAGCCATTGTAAATTTGTTAAACTATCGTCCAAGGAGCTGTTCTCATCCTCCTCTTCAGCAGGATTTTGAGCTTCCCAATTTGCTGCGAATTTCTCGGCGTAAGATTGTGTTAGCGAAGGCATTATAATTTCGTTCATAGTACAAACTCAGTACGCTTAGTTGAACACCCACACACACAGCCTACAGCTGCTGGCTTGGAAAGGACGATCGGGGCTTGTTTGCTTGTCGTCGTCCTAATCGGCACTCCAAGGTCCAGAGAGGAAATATACAATGTATTTAACGAAGTRTTGGCCTCTTGATCAATCTTCTTCGAGAGTTTTACTTGAATATCGTCTCGTGGTGCAAATTAGCGATGCGTAATTAAATTGACGAACTCGAAAATGACTTGGACAGGAAACTTCTGTTATATTCACGAATGAAAGTAATCTTGCTAAAACAGCAAAACAATCGCTGTTTATCTCAGATGGAACGATTCTTGCTAATCGTGTGATCTTGTTCGAGAAATGAGGTACAAAATTCACGCTACGATATATCAAAATATACCAGTAATTCGACTTGCCTTATGTCGTAATTTTGTTTTAAAAGTACGTGTACAGTCAGCTGTGGGTTAGTGATGTTACGAAAGACACTGTTCCATGCGTCTCGTACAAGATGAATGAGTATCGCAATGAACACATTTGGCTTTACAAGTGGTTATAATTCAATGCAGCCTAGGAGCGAAATAAACAACCTTATTGTTCCTGATTGGTCGACCGGTTGCTACCATAGAATACGATTAAGCCCCGACGCCAAATAGTACGCCATGATTGGCTCACAGTTGCTACGATATCAGATTGTTGATGTCGCTTAGCGCGTGGACCAGACTTTTTTATGCAAATGAGAAAAAACCGGAAATGGCAACGGCAAAGTTTATCAACAATTACGTAGCAACCAGGAAATTTTACTTCCGCCGGAGATACCACACGAGGAATTTTAGATTACTGTGGCAGACTGATATTTCAAGTTCACTTTTGCAATCAAAATTYCATAAAAACAAGAGAAAATTCAATAAGAGGATGATGTATAAATCCTAAATAATCTTCTCAGTGATTTTTTTTATCTTTCTAAAAGAAATATTTCCTAGCTTAATACATTTCCATGCCTGAAGCATTTATCTTCTTCCGCTTTCACTTTATTTTTTTGTCAATTAATGGATGACGCATTTTCAGAGTTTTTTCCTATTTTGCATGGACGTGAGAAATTGTCTTCAAGAAATTTGAATTATAAAAAAAACTTAAAGGAAGACAAGTGACCCAGACGTGACCATAAAACCTCAACATCAGTGTCCATCGTGACAATCGTCATGTCCACAATACTCTTCACCACTTGATTGCACTCCAAAAAGTCAACCTTTATCCATAGATTTATCATTATTATGACATTTTCGCAGCTTATAGCACAAGCAATTGTCATCTTGTAGCTGCTAAAGATCTTTGGAGAACAATGAGATCATTTGGTTCTAAGTACCAATTGACTGCAACAACTTATAGTYWTTCACCTCTAATGAAGGGCAAATGGTAATTAAAAACGAATTCGCGTGCTATAGACCTCAGAATTTCCACCGAAAGGTCTGTGATTCATCTTTGAGCTAAAAAGGTGGTCGACAAAGTTGACGCTTGCACGCTAAGCCGCCATATTATTTTCTACAGGTTTCCGCATGTCGATTGACAGGAAACCATTATAGAGAACAATAGTTGGCCCGCTAATGGGGTCATTATACTGAGGTTATGACGTCACTGAGGTTTAGCAGTCTACGATATATTAATTGTTACATTTCTGCAAACAGTAATAAGTTAAGTTAGGCTGTAAATTGTAAATTCCGTACATATTTCATGGATTCTGCACTGACATTTAGGATTTGGATAGTAATTAAACCAGAGTTAGTAACTCACACAAAACTCGATCCATGGAGAATAATTACGTGACTTCAGGTTGTTTGTTAAGGAAAGTTTTTCTTTTTTTTACAAGCGTCATGCTGAAAATGGTCCGCATTTTTTTTCAACTGACGTCAACAAAATGACGCAAGAAAAGCTCAAAACAAAACAAAAAAATACTCGTAATAAAGAAAAAATATATAAAAGTAATATATCATTATGAATAAGAAAAYGGCTTTACATTTATCCATTAATTTCCCACTCTTTGCCGAATATGGACTATTCCGAGCGAAAAATCCTCCATCACTTGAGAGCCAATCGAAGCGGGATAGCGCATTTATGAACTTTAGACAACCTTTTTAACTACTTCTATTTTTACCTCAAATTTTAATATGAATAATGAAAAAAGTCAATTACTGGTAGCATGATGGTTATTGCGACATCATGTATAGTTCATTTAATTGTAAAGGTGACGACTATAGCCTAGAGCTATCACTTTTGCAAGTGTTTTKGGGTTGCAGTCTGCCCAACTAGCATGATGTGTTTTGTTGACAAGAGGAATTGTGGCTGGGATATTTGAARACATCTCATTATTCATTTTTWAATTTGTTGTACTTTAATYTATACTAAAATAACAATAATTATCATTCATTGGGTATGCCGTGAGTCATTGTAGCCTTTTTTGTTGCGCGATTAGTTTGCGATTAAATGTATGAAAAATAGGCAAACTTAAGTTATCCGTTCGTGAATAATTTATGCCTTGATGGATTTCTTAAAAGTAGTCTTTCATCTTCAAGGCGCTACGTGATGTGGTACTGAAATTGCTTACTAGGATTACTAGGATTTCAAGCTTTCTAATTGTCGTACAGCAAGCAAGTAAAGACAAAGAAATGACACCCCGGTCCATACGAGACTCAAAGTAACATGTGCGCCGAACAGAGTCAGTGGGGGGGGGGGGGGGGGGGGGGGGGGGGGGGGGATTTTGTATTCAGTATCTTTGAAGCCTATAGAATTAAAATTGATTGATTACAAAAGCACTAACTAGGCTTAACTGGAAAATCAAGAGTGTTTTAAACATACTATAGAAGTTGAGAAGGGATGTTTTTTCACACGATCCTCAGTCGAGTTATGTTTTTAAGCCGTCACTTGCCCCAACTTGACTATTCCATTTCTCCAAAAGATATATATTATGACTATAATAACTTCGATAATTGAAAACATTGAAATTGAACAAATTAAAAGCAGCTGSAGCAATCAAGCTCAAGATTTTAAATTGTTTAACCACTCGATCTTACCAAGGCAAAGGAAATGGAGCTGCATGAGACTCAGAATATAATCTTGATACCAGCTATACCAGAATACAGTCAACTCTCGCTATTGCGGACACCCTCGGGACCGTAATTTAGTGTCCGGTAGCGAGAGTCCGTCATGGTAACGAAAGTTACTTCCAGTCCGATTTCTTTGTATTTTTCGCCGGGGATTGAGTATTTTACTGTCCGAAGTATGAGGTGTCCGTTGTAGCGGGGTGTCCGTAAGGCGAGAGTTGACYGTACCGCAAACCTTTAGTAAAGTTAGCATTATGTAAAATGCGTGCACGGTACTGAATCAAACCAGTTTTAAATAGTTTTTCTGGTTTTCGTGACTTCAATCAATTCGCCCACAAATTTGTGTCCTGAAAAATTTATAAGAAATATTAAAACTGTTAAAGTGTTCGTCAAGTGTCGGCGAACAATAGGCTTCAACACTGTGGGGGAGAATCGATCTATAATGAGTTAGTCGACATGCTCTAATCTTGATGAAATACATTTTGAATTATTGATATTGCTGTATACTGATATAGGCATGACTTAGTAATTTATAGGACATTAATGGACAAATTTACACAACGATATCATATGGACCCCTTGCATGTGACGTCAAAGCAGCTTCATCTGGAGGACAAAACAAAAGATTTTTATCCTCTTGGGAACTAGAATCTATTGTTTTGTCCTCCAGTTGGAGCTGCATTCCCATGAACTGCAAGGGGTCTATAGTCAAACAGATAGTCAAATATATACCTTTTTCATGGAACAGCTAGCTGCGGGCGGGCACCCTCTTTGAAGCATTTTCAGCCGGGCCTATTCAACAAATCCAAGTAGTAAAAATTTACAATGTAAACTCTTCTCTTAGTGGCTTTCCGCTTATAGTAGTCCGTTATGGATTAGACATGGATTGTTATGTATGCTTCCAAGTAYTGTAGAGAAGAACAAGCATATAACCACAGGGATCCCAAGCAGTCCAAGGGGTTTCCCATCCCCTCCCCTAGTGGAAAAAATCGACTGCACGCAATGAAGTGTTTTTAATGAAACTTGGTACAAAATCATGAATTTATCGTTATTTTCTTTATCTCTATTTAGTTTTTGATAGTTATAACGAATAAAATCTTTTTMTTTGAAGCATTTTAATTATAAACTACATTTCTCTTTCCCCTCTACCTTCCGGTAAGTATATTTTTTTGTAAACAAGATTGGTCAACCGAGGTCAACCTCTCCCTGCGGGTATAGATTTATTCAATATGGCGGCCTTCATACGGGGTTTTCAACGAGTGCAATGTTTAGCTTYAATTAGACACGTCTTCCAACAAGAACGAAGAAAAATTATTAAAAACAGGCTTGTTAAGGTAATTTTTTCAACTTTAAGGCTCATTCTTATATTCAAGGAGCTAGATATTCTTAAAGTACACGATCTTGGCTTAGTAGTTAACTTATAAGCTTAAGCTTAACTTAGCTAAGTTAAGTTAGTGTACCGCGATTTTACAAGTACAAATTCAAGAACAACTCCTAGCAAGCTTTATTTTCAAGACTTCTTTTCGCTTGTCAAAAGCAGGCTATGAACTAGCTTAARTTAAGCTTATAGCAAGAACATTAAAGCTTACAGATGAACAAAATAAAATAGAAAATATCTAGCTTATTTCCAAAAATTTATAACCTTGTTAAGGATAGAATTTGAAATAAGCTTACATTAAGTCTTATTTTTTCATGATTACCATATTTGTGTGTGTGTCTGCATGTGTTCTTAGTGGAGTGTTTTTTTTTACTAAATTTATTATAGCAGTATCTGATGATCATTTTGTAAATACAGTCCCTGATTCAAACTTACTATAGAATCCTGGTCTCTAACTGATTTAGCTTCCAAGTTATTCGTTAGGATMAGTACCTATGATTCCTATTGCAAACTATGACATTTCTTTAATATTTGATTGTAAATATGCCATATAAAAAAGTCCCTGTTCTGTTTCACCCAGAAATTTGACAAAGTGACATAAAAATCACTATTTTTTTTATTTCTGGCATACAAAATGTCTTTAATTACTGTCTTTCTCTTACCAGTCTGCACATTTAACATCAACTGATCAATTAAGCAGGCTATATAGAGAAGCTGACTTTGTGAACAGCTAGAACACAGTTGTTTGGCCATACATTTTAAATAAATTTCCCTCTTGACTCTTGTCCATTTTCACATAGATCCTACCATCACTCATAACAAAATTACGACGTTCCTGGCCTTTAGTACTTACAACACCAACCTTAGCACTTGGATGGTTTGGACAATCATCCAGCCCCGAACCAACAAAAAAGATGTCCGATGAAGAACTAGCCATTGTGGAGTCCGACAAGTTATTTGATGATAATGAAATTGACAAACTCTATGACCTTCTGATGAAATTCTGTGAGAGCAATAACCCTGAAATTGTCTGGAGACTAGCAAGAGCAGCAAGGAATAAAGCTGAAAAGAGCGTCAACGAAGAAGACAAAAAAACTCTTACATACAAAGGATATGAGTTTGCTAAGAAAGCTGTAGAATTGGATGACAAAAACTTTGCATGTCACAAGGTCAGAGCTCAATTTCTGAATGAATGATTTATTCTRTATTTAACCCAACACTGATATAAAAACGGCCATCATCAGGGACATATCCAGGATTTTCATTGGGGGGGGGGATCCTTACATACCAAATTGTCACTGTGACTTCGTATGATATCAATACAGCGCTGTAGCTACGATCAGGCAAGCGAGGCACTTGCCTCGGTAAAATTTTATCAAGTTTTCTTTAATTCGTAGCCAAGATAAAGAAGTTCGATCAATGGTGCAAGAAAAYAATGTCACAAAATGTTGGAAATCACGTTTCGGGGTGTCTGAATTTCAAAATGTTTCGGGGWAGTATGCCCGTGAACCCCATAGATGCGGGTGCTTCCACCGGTTGCATAAAGTGCCTCGGTTAACATTCCTCTCTGGCTACGGCGCTGCAATATGATGTCATATTAATCTATGGTTTTCCTTTTTTTGGCTTTGAAAGGATACGCCCGTCTTGATCATGTAGAACCTCATGCAGTAGTGAAAATGAGAAAAAYTCATGGTTAGCACAACTGACTTGATGTATGAAGCAGGTCTTATTTTATAGCCTTGTGTCAGTAATTAACATTTCATTTTTCCATGTSTCTGTACTGTAATAGATACACAGATGTTATCAAAATATGATGAAACAAAAAAGTATTCCACACAGCCAAGTCGGCTCTCAACCAATCCAATATACCAAATATCATGTAGCACCCTGTAACACAATATTTTTGTSTTGCAGTGGTTAGGTATAATGTTAAGTAACGTTGGAGATTTTGAAGCAACTAAAGTCAAGATACAAAATGCCTATAAGATAAAAGAGCATTTTGAGGTATAGAAATAATACCACAGTAGCACAAGCAGTGCATTTGTGCAGTTTTTACCAAATGCACAGTTTGGACTACCTGTGTTAGTATATTGATTACCATTGTCTGATTGATTGATGATTAGTTGAGTGAATGGTTGATTGATTGACTCATTGATTAATTGATTGATGATTGACTTATTGATTGACGTATTGATTGATTGATTGATCAATCGATCGATCAATGAAGGACTGTTAYTACATGAAAACTTAGCAAAACAACAGCATGACAGAGCCATCACTAATTGACTKCATTTTTTCTAGAAATCCATTGAGCTAAGTCCCAATGACCCAACCTGTAGATATTTACTTGGTGTCTGGTTAGTATTATAGTTTTGATAGCATTTCTCATGTGTCTTAGGTTGGAGAGATAAGTTTATTAAGAAAACTACATTGCAGCCAGTACATTTTTAATTAAAATKGTGAAGTTGCTATTTAAAATTCTAAATACATAGTAAATTCAAAAAAAGATTGGTTGCAAGTACATTCACCATTGTTCAATTATRSCTCCTTACTGCAGTCACTTTGTTTTTACYGTTTGATTGTTTTGTTTCAGGTGTTTTACTGTGGCCAATATGCCTTGGTATCAACGTAAAGTAGCAGCTGCACTTTTTGCAACSCCACCATCATCTTCCTTTGAAGAGGTGATAATGGCAACATTGACAACAGCTGSAATAGCAACATCAACAGCTGTACTATCACCATAAATAACCATAACAACAGCACTAACCAAATAACAACCATGATGAATAATAGCAACATCGATAGCTGTAATACCACCATACATAACAATAACAACTGCACCAACCCAGTGACAACCATGACGACTAATAGCAACATCGATAGCTGTACTATAGCCATAAATAACAATAACAACTGCACCAACCCAATGACAACCATGTCAACTAATAGCATCATCTATAATAACTGTAACAAAAGCATTGTCAACATTGCAACAGTAACTGCAACTTTATACAACATCACCATCACCAACTACAACAACATCAACATTAACATCACTAAAGCCAATTGCAATAGTAGCAATTGCAACAATAACAGCAAACTAGTAGACTAGGTGTAGAGGGTGTGGGGCACTAGCCTGTGTTACATCCGGAATTTCTGTCTAATTAGACAGAAATTCCGGATGTAACACAGGCTACGGATGTAACACAGGCAAGTGGGGCACCAGCCTGCATATTATATATAATATCTCCAAAACCAAAGTCGTTTAAAGGCGATGCATTGGAAGAACTTTTGAATGTCAATTTTTTTACACCCTTTGTTTTATTGGCCTAAAGAACCATAGGTCCATACTATTGCCTTATTAAAAACAGCAATAACATTGACAACGAGCAACAATTGCAGCATCAACAATGAATTATTATAAACTGTTCTTTTTCAGGCACTTGATCACTTTGAAAAGGCAGAAGCATGTAAGTATTCCAAGTGACTCAGTAATAGTCTCCTTCATGGTTGTGCCATCTTGAAAGGTAGCCATGCCGTTGCATCAATGCAAACCTTCTTTCATACCTAGAGACAATCATTTATGGGTATCTATCGCTCAAATGTTGTCTYGCAAGGTGGCGCAGGGAACCCTTGAGGAGACTATTCCCAGGAATTAATTGGGTTCTTTTTTTCTCAAAGTGGAACCAAACTTCTTCAGCAAAAATCACTTGATGCTTGGCAAAACATATTATAGCTTGAAAAAGTACGAAGAGGCAAAGGTTTGGCTGTTAAAAGCTACAAATCATCCAGAGATTACCACTGATGATATTGAAGTGAGTAGAGTTTTATTAGATATGTTTGTACAAATAATGCACACRAAGAGTGTCAAAGTTTTTCCTTTGTGTAATAGTAGTTTATTTGTTAATTCTAATTTGATCTAATTTGTTTTATTGTCGTTTAAATTTAGGCAAACAAGCAAGCTGAGGAACTTCTAAAATACCTCTGAAAGTTAATATAGTATAGCCTTGTCTCATATCGTATATCACTTGYTCGAGAAAGGGACATATGTTCCAATATCGTCTCACTTAGTAATATTGCTCAAAGTAATGTCGCATATGATAACATTAAACTCAAAGTTGACTCTGTTGTTAATTGTAACTGGGATGCACCTCATTTGAACAAACATTGCCATTCTGTATCTTTTCCGAGTTGTTGYCAAATACTTCAAAAGATTGATTCATTTGGTTAGATTTCTGTGGGGAAATGATTGCCTGAGTACTTGCGTTAAGCACGGATACGGTGGAGGTCATTGCTCTTCTGATTTCCTTCATTCTCCAGAACAAAATAATGGGATTTATTAAAGAATTGGCAAAAATAAAAATCGAAGTAATACTCTCGGCTCCCCAAGCAGCTGCGGATTCTCCAATGACTGCTGTAACAACAGACTGACCAATATATGGCAGATAACAAAGGATGAATATAAGGAACACATAGCACATGGTGTCCATAGATTTTTTGTACCTGTAAGTGTTTGATGCTTTTTCCTTTTCGGGTCCTTCTCTTAGCTCCCGTATAAGTYKCCCCTGTTTTCTTAGGGTAAGGAAACATTTGACGTAACATATCGATGCTATGACAACGAACATTGCCATAATGCATGCAGCAAATGTGAAATAGAGTGCTCTTGCTATATAAAAGTGACCGCTGTACATTATGCAAGCCCCGACCCATATTACGACTACTAGAAAGGTCACTCTTCTATTAGTGACCCAGGTTCGGTATAAGGTCCCTTTATGGACCACAAGGTACCTGTCTACTGCAATGGCCGAGAGGGTCAGAAATGAGATGCACCCTAAAGCCCCTCCTGCTACATAAGTAATTACACCTGTAGCGCAATAYGTATTAAAGTCGTGCTGTAACTCTGCGATTTTTTTCACTAGCAACGTAGGCTCTATCATCAGTCCAACAAGGACGTCTGACAAGGCCAGGCTGAAGAGAAGTTTAGTYGATGGTTTACGTATCTCAGACGAACGATACAAGGAAATAATCAACAAAAYATTCAGAGCAATTGTYGGTAGAATAAGTATGGCGTCCAACGTCGCTGCAACGATGTAGACWTYTCTAACTTGGTCGATTTTTGTCGTGTTGAATGTCAAGAAGTAACACTGCTCGAAACCATCACTTGCATTTCTAGGCATGGTTGCCATGGTCTTGGTTGCTAAGGTTCTAACGTCTGCTGTGTTTCATTTTTATTTCTGTAGATTAAAGATGAATAATATTTTCATTAAAGGAGAAATTAATATAATTTTTAGCCACTTGCTATTCTTGCCAATAAGTTAGTGTATTAGTATCAAGATTTGCTTGTTATCAATTAATTTTTTCAAGTCAATTTTATTTTGGTTTTGTGGTTTGTTTTAATACAGCTGTTTTAGGACGTCTTTTTCTGGTTTCTTCTTTTTCTCGGTTCCCTGCCTCTCTTCTTTGAGTCACTCTTTTCATTACTCTRCATTGAGCTCAAACTTGTCTTATTCAATTAGTTTACACATGTGACGTCCCTTGTTCAGTGCGATTCAATTATCCACATATGTAACCGATAATTAACATTGGATTCGCCGTTTCTTATAAAGTCGATCGAGATGAATGGAACGCTAGCAAGTATGGCATTTTAACTTTCTAGGCACTTCAATAGCCGAATCGCGAAAACCTACCTTTCCTCTTCATTCTTTAATCAATATCATGTCAAAATAAAACCCATCTTTAATATGTCCTCTTCRTTAATCACTTGAGATGAGCTTTTGAGTATTAAACCCTTTCCAAC